TCTTTATATCGCTCTTCGTCTTATTCGTCGGGGATCTTTTGATTTTTGCTGTATTTTGCTTTGGACTCGTACTCGGACTCTTTTACGTAGACTTTGTTTCGCTTTTTGTCTTTGTTGTCGGGGATCCTTGGATTTTTCGCTTGTACTTGGCTTTGGACTCGGACTTGTAGATATCTATGGGCTCTTTTCTTTAAGTAGACTTGCTTTCGCTTTTTTGTCTTCGTTGTCGGGGATTTTTCCGTTTGTACTTTGCTTTCGACTCGGACTCGTAGATAGCGATAGACTCTCGCATAGACCTACTGTAACCAAAGAATGTATTACTCCGCCTGTGCATTGCGTCTCCACTGTACGGGGTGTGCCGAATCAGTTTCCCGAGCTCAATTGCGAGACGTCAATGGTTTATCCTGTCTGAGTGTCTCGGACGGTGATAAGTCACAGGTTGTATTCCATTCATTCAGTCTCTGGGTGCTTGAAGAGGACAGGACTATAAATAACGAGCGAGAGTGGTCGTCTTGTGAATCTAAACCGGCAAGATCTCAGGATTGCGATAGAGGATAAGGTAAATGCTTCCCATAGCCCGCCTGGATGAGCCTCTGCCCCGCCGCCCACACTGTCTCCGGGATCTCCTGCGGGATTTGGAACCCACGAGCGGGATAGTCGCGTATGCGAACGAGATCGCCCACCATCGCGTTTGTGACCAGATCGCGGGTATTCTCCGCGTTGAGATACTCCTCCCACTCGACTACTGGACTCGTAACGGTGAATTCCACGTTGGACTCGGATTGCGGCCATTGCTTGACGAACGTCGCATACGTTCTGCGCTCCATGTAGGGCTTCTGGACCAGCAGAAACGACCGTATCGCCTTGTCCAATCCTTTCTCTTTCAACAACTCGGCTGTGAAGCGGACATTCTCCCCGGTATTCGTCGCACGAGTCTCCACGATGATAGCATCTTTAGGAACACCCATGGCGTGTGCGATGTCGGCAAAGGCCTCTGCTTCGGAGAGAGCGAAACGGCCTTGGGTGAGGACGCCGACGTTTCCAGAGAAAATGAGGTGCGCGCCATGGCCTGCGAGGTAGAGCTCAGCAGCGCGGATGGCAACGCGGGTGTCGAAAGAGCAGAGGACGAAGATCGCTGAAGAAGGGGAAGGTGGGTTGTTGGGAGGAGGGAGGGGCATGTGCATGCGGTGATAGTTGTACACCAGGGCTGCGTCGATATCGACTTCGGTCGGTTGGTGGGTTCCAGAAAGACTCGCAGCTGCCATGGCCCGGGACAGATGATTTGAAGTAGATGTTTACTATTAGCGCCCTGCGGCCGAAGCTAATACGGCCAGCAGTTTGATATCTGGTCGGTGGGCGGGTCCAGCGACGAGAAGAGAGTCAAAGTGACGTGGCGGCTGGACGACGGACGTGATGCAATCAGTCGTACCGGAACCGCTGTCAACTCCCCTTGATTCCACACCACGACGATGACCGACCCTCCCTCCGCCCAGACGCGCCTGCAAGTAATCGAAGCCCAGATACTCGACTTCTCAGCTAAACTAGCTGCCCTCCGCGCTGAAGAAGCCGCTATTCGCGCCTCACTCTCCACCTCCATTCTGGACCTCCCACCAGAAATTATGCTCTCGATATTCGAAACGCACCTTCCCGAGAAATATGGGGATACATTTGTGCTGTCGCAGGTCTGCAGCTCCTGGCGCGTCCTTGTCGTCGGGACATCTACCCTCTGGCACCACATACCCGTCGACGCTTACACGATTGCGAGAACGCACGATCCAATTCAGCTGCTTCACCTTCGCTTGAAACGCAGTGGAACTGCTTTGGTGGATGTCTCTGTTACCGTCCCCGATGGACCTTACGACGCCAAGGCATCCGCAGACACATTCCGTGCTGCGCTGAACCTGGTCTCACAACATACCCCGCGCTGGGGCTCCCTCTCCCTCTCATGCGAGAATCCGGACGGAATATCGCTGGACTGGATAAAACGCCATCAGCTGACGGCGCTGACCAGTCTCTCGGTCGCTGGCTCCAACTGGGTCGGCGAAGGGATTTTCTACACGCTCTTCGCGCGGCCGCCGCGGCTAGGAGCAGTCAGCATGGCCACCCTTCTCCTCGGAATGCCTACAATGAACTGGGGAGCAATCACCCGGTTGGAGTTGTGTGATTTGCGATGCCATCGCGTGCTGCCTGCTCTCGCTGAGGCGCATTCCCTGGAGACACTGCATGTCGTTCTGCCTCATGCCGCGGACAGCTGCTTGTATTGCACAACATCGATTTCCCTCCCCCGTCTACACACTCTTCAAGTTTCCAGAGATTCTGAAGCAATGTTAATCCGGCATCTCACTTTAACCAACCTCCACTCCTTGACGATAACCTCCCTGTCGTCGGACGGTGTAACGCACGTCGAAGAGTTCGCCGAACGGTCCGCATGTACTCTGCAAGAGTTGACGTTGCGTGATCTTCAGATGGACGATATCCACCGGGTGATAGTTGCGCTGCACGATGGGCTTGCTGAGTTGACGCTGGCTAGCCCGCAGTCCTCCTTGGTGTCGAACCTCGACCCCACAGCCGAGCTCAACAACTTCCTTACCTCGGTCGGCAACAAGCCCACTTTCCTCCCCGCCCTTGTTTCGCTTAGAATCATCGAACTACCGCGTAACACCGCTGTCGATGTCGCGGCCCTGGCAACCATGCTCTCCGCGCGCAAGAGCTGGGTCCCTGGCGTCGGCGCCGCCGACGGTCGACGATTTCCGCCGGAACGTGTGGGCGGGATACGCTATTTCAAGCTGGCCTTTATCGAAGCCGGAGTGGGCATGAAGGAAAACATTAAGGATGACGGCGAGCCTTGGACCGTGGTGAATGCCATGCAGAAATTGCGTCGTGTTCGGCAAGCGGGAGTCATTCTGGAGTTCGCTAATGTCGGCAGAGTGCCGACACAGTTTTTGGATCAGAAGCTGGTGAGCTTGTACTTTACAAATATCCTCTGCGTTTACTTTCCCGATCGCTCATGATTTCTGCAGGTTGGGGAACTTTGAGCTTGACGGGCGCCGGGTCTTCCGGTTCTGTTCGCCTGGATGCAACCTCGTCTCAGGAAGGCGCTAGATGTTGATCTCCACGCGTAGTGGGGATTAAGGATCGCTTATGGTGCTGTCTTGACTAGTGCTCTATGTATATCCAGATATATATAATGGTCCTCGATATATAGAGTGTTTGCTTTGCGGTTGATTGCTGAGGCTGAAAAAAGAAAAATTGTGCTCCCTCTCGCATAAGACCTGACCGGGGTCGAACCCGCCCGATGCCTCCAAGAGAGACATACAAGTCGCCAGACATTGAGAACGGGTCTATTATCCCTTTCCTGCGTGACGAAAGTCGGGATAAGAAGCTCACACGATGTGGACCGAGATGCCCGACGCTAGATTAAACTATCGGCACCGTTCCGCACGGTCATTTACTGGGCATTGGGTGGATTATCCAGAGGATCTCCAATCCGCGGACTATCCCGATAAACACCAGACAGGGCTCCAGTAGCAAAACTATTTAGTTCCGATGAGGATTTCATGCATATCCCTATCCCGCTTCGAACGGGACGATCCTGCGCGGGGAATGCTGCAGCTATGCAAACGATGGAGGTGTGCACTTGCACTAGGGTCTTCCAAGGAATGCTACGCACGATGTTGAATCAAAGCCAGGCGTTTCACGGTTGAATGAAAGTTGACGGATGAGCAGTAGACATTCGGCAGGGTTATAGGCAAACAGGGATGTTTTCATTCGTTAACGCAGTACATATTCAGGCTGGAAACGGATAGCGTATCATTATCGTCTGGCATCTGGACACAAATAGCACTCACCAAGCAAATGGAACAAAAAACAACAGGATTCACGATCATCGGATGACCCCGACCCGTCAAAGCGGGTGACCTCCATGGATCCAAGTAATTATAAGAGACCATGCTATAGAGGTGTGCTCAGGCACCAGGGTTTGCAGATGGATCCTTGGCTAGAGCTAAATTCAAATGTCAGAACGGTTGGCCCGAGATCCCCGAGCATGGCAAAGAAACAGGCACGATTAGCGTGTTTCTGCGCACGTTCGGCTTGCAATTTGGAAAATTACAGTGTCCTAACGCGATCACACGGGCTGCAATACTCAAACAAAAGAAAGGATGCTATGCCAAGTTGTACCCTGATGACCCTTGCCCGCTTCGAACAGGCCCACGTCCTCCATGCGGCCGGAGTTTGCATGTGATACGAAGTCTGCTCTGGCCGGGGGTCTGCTGTTAATTTTGAGCGGAAGATAAATCAGAATCTATCTAGTGTTCGGGTCTATCTTCAAAGATGTTCGGCTGTTCGGCCGAGATCTCCGATACTGCGGTAAACTCCAGAACTCGCAAGGACGCTGAACGGCTTCCAGATCTGGATTCGCGACAGTAAGTAGACTATCTCCCAGACATGCGTAACTGGAAAGGAGATCTCGAGATCGACAGCGAAGGAAAACAAAAGCAGCATACCTGAACAACGTATCGTCATCCGATGACCCTGTCCCGCTTCGAACGGGACTTAGATGACCTCCGTAGATGGTAGATCCACCGGCATATCATGTGGAGGTGTAGCGCAGCTGGGTCTTCCCCCCCAATCTGGAGTCTAAGCCTGAACCAAAGCAGAAGGAATTTAGTGCGGGAGCTAGCGCGCGATTTCGACCAGGATTTCGGCGTGTATGGTCGTAAGAAATGAATGCGACATGTTATGGCGGATTTGGGCGGTGCAGAGAGTCTTTTGGGAGAGGTGTTGGGCGGTGATCGTGGCCGTTGATGAGTTGATGGTGATGGTCCCGCATGTCACAACGGTTCAAAAGCGAAACACACGCAGTCGAGGGCCACCTGATGGCGCAAAGAAAAACAGTGGAGAGGGAATTTGGTGTTGGCCTAGAGAGAGACAAAAATGGTGAATATTCTGATCAAGTGAAAGCAAACAAAAAAAAAAACACAAAATCAGATGCAGCAATATACACACAAGGGGAGTCGAACCCCTGCCGCTTGCTAACTGGTTCGACTCTGAATTTATGGAAGGCAAGCATGATACCGTTTCACCATGCGTGTGTGATCGGCAGCCTGGACGGCGACTTTGTAGGGATGAGGAACTAGCCACTTGAAACCGTGAACTTCATCACACACGTCCTTACGACGCCCGTTCCACGTTCTCAGATTTCGCCTTTTGAGCTTTCACTCAACTCCATCTAAGATCTATAAAAAAGAAGTAAAAAATACAGTAAATACGACGCGTCGACCTGCTTCGAGAATCTAACCGCGACATTCCGTCCGCCAAATCGCGCTTCATGACCAAATTTAACCAGACATCGGTTTGACCTCTCCGCGCGGGGCCAATCGTGCAGCCACTGAATCTTTCTCTTGTCTTCTCCGCGCGAAAGTTGATAAGAGAGATCGATGAGCTCACCAGGACCTCGTCCCGATTCGAACGGAATATCTGCGGCGGGTGGATAAAGCCGAGATGCAAACTAGGCGCAGGTCTGCCGAGGTCTGATAGTAAGGAATCCCATCGATATATACTGGGATTCCCCTCAGCTCAATATATTCGAGTGCTCAGGGCGGCGGAGAGGAGCCTGAACTTCACGACGGACTGGAGGCTGGAGCAAGGGAAAACACGCGGAAATGAGCCCACAAGTAATTGTATCACTGGTATCGTCCACACAAGCTAAGAGACGCTCCGAAACAACAGTGCAAATTATGAATCTCCTCCAAACTCGCGCTCAAAGAACAGCCGCTCCACCAAGCAGCGCCGCAACCACAGCCAAGACGCTCGCGAGGCCAAGACCGGGAGTGGCGACGGCGAGAATGCCAGCAGACGGCGAGGTAGCAGCCGCAGATGCACCGGAACCCGAGCCAGAAGCAACACCGGAAGCAGAGATGTCGGCGGCCGAGTTGGATGGAAGGAACGGAGTGGTGGCAGTTGGAGTGGAAGTCGCAGAGAGGGAGGCTTCGAGGAAAGGTTAGCGAGGTGGATAGAAACGAAATACCACTCGGACGTACCAGCACCGCACTGAGCCTCCTGCAAGCCCAACGCAGCCTTCATCTCCTCCGCATTGCATTCAGCCTTGAGACACGACGCGGCCTTTTGCTGGAAGTCGGCGTTGGTGCATACGCAGGTAACGTTCGTGCTACCGACATTGTCAGCCTTGGCGAGGAATCTGAGAGGAGAATGGAGACCGTACAAAGTGAGGCAAGTATCCGCGGCAGCCGGCGTGAGGCATCCAAGAACACAGGGAGTCAACGCTCCAAGGGTGGCACTCGCGCTCGAGTCGGGGGCGCTGGCAGTCGCAGAGACGCTTTTGCTGGCGGAGGACTGGGCGAGGACGACGGCGGGAGCGAGGAGGGCGAGGGCAGCGGCGAGAGTGACGATGAAGCGCATGGTGAAGCGTGAAGAGGGCGTGAAGGATGGAGGCAGGAGCCAAGAAACGATGGAGTAATGTGACGGCCTTTTATTCAGCTTGTGCCGAGCCGGATCAAACAACTTGAACCCCTCTTCGTTCTATTTACTCCCCCCTCGGTGTCGCTCCTCTGAACCTGTCCTCCTCTCTGTACATGCCCTACTTGCGACCCTGATCACTCGTAGACGTCTCGTCCAAATGTTGCACCCATGTGGAAGTACCCCGCGCAGTAGATGGGTAGATACTGTAGAAACACAAATGCAGCGCAAGCTACGCGAAAGAAAATGGACGCGAGAGCAGCCATTCCAACATCCTATCCCGTTTCCTGCGCTCCGAAGTCTAAAGCAAAAGAAAGAAAGCCTGGACAGACAAAGAACGACCCGTACCCGTATCGAACGAGCTCCTGCGGACATATCCGACAGCCGTGATACACGCCCTCGAGTGCTATCTCGCACAGCCTAACTTACTATCCACATGAGGAGAAACGAGCGTGAGATTGCGCGGTGAACCGATGATATAAACACTTCCTATTAGCTGGACTACATCAAACCACGAAATACCCGTCCCTGTAAACTCCAATGTCTTCCACTTCTCGCTGTATTCGCTGAACCAGATCCTTCGTCACCTCATTCTCACTCGCCGCCCATTGGTAGAACGTCAACTTGTTCAGCCCTGGCCAACGCTTCAGCCAAGCGATGAAGGGCTCAAAGGCCCCAGGCGCAGCGGCAATCCTTTCCTTGGGGCGAAAGGCCAGCACAAGCTGGGAGATGTTCGCAGGGAGCCGCTCAGGTTCCTGTGATTCCGGCCAGTGGACGTGGTGTTCCCAAGGCACCCAGTGGAATATCTCGAGCCTGAGCCTATTAAGACGGGGTCGGAGAGAAATTGCGAGCAAGGCCGCCTGGTAATCGTCCTGTGTCTCCAGCTTTCCATGAAGCTCGAGCCGAACGAAGGAGAGCTGCGTAAATGTGTCCCCCAATAGAAGCCACGCCGCAATGCGCACAGAAACCTGAAGGGAATATAGGTGGGGCAATGCTCCCGGCGTGAGATGCGGAGACGCTAGAGCTTCCTCTCCATGGGATGGCCGACGGAGCTTCACGGCCCCCTCTATCTTCATCGTCTGCAGCGCTGGGTGTCTCCCGATAAAATCCGCCAGCGCCTTGTCGAACTGCACCCCAACCTCGCGCTGTGATGTGATCTGCAGCGTGGCCAAGTGCGGAGCTGAGATATGGTGCAGCAGCGCTACGACAGCGGCCGGGCGCAGAGCTCGAGTCTGTCGTATGTGGATGCTATACGTGCAGTCGGCATCCACAAGCAACAACACCCCAATGCATACGCGGTCGCGTTCATCCGGGCCGAAGATCATCACGAGCGAGTCTGAGCCTTCGGCAGCGGTAAGAGTCGCGAGAGCATAACCAATGTCATGTACACTCTTGGTGACCGTAGAGGGTGTCCAGGGAATCATTCGCATGCCCCGAGGAGTGATGCAAATAAGCGGGTGTTGTAGGTTTGCAACGCGGTCAATCACAGCATTGAGTACAGAGACCGCTGTTCCGTGGATATCACGCAGAGATGTGTGGACCTCCAGCCGTATAGCAGGGATAGTTGTCAGTCGAGTACAAAGCTGGTCCAGTGCGCAGAAACTCCGCCGCTGAGTGGTTGTATCCTCTGAGCCATCGAAGCGAAGATTCAGCGAGTGCAGCGACGCCACGAAACGCGCAAGGGAGAGTGCCTGAACGGCCCCGCTGCGCGTACCCAGAGGAATAATGCCATTGTGGACATCGGATAGCGCGACTCCATGCCGCTCGAGGTGTAGCTGAAGAGCCATTTCATGGATGTGCTTCGAGACAGCGGCCAGGGCAAGCAGTTGAATATCGTCGAGAAACGAGAAGAACAGAAGGAGGATCTCGTCCGGGAAGTGGATGTCGTCGCAGTGGTGGGAGCGACTCGGAGACGGAGACGGAGCAGATTCGGGTTGCGGCTGTGGCCGTTTCCTGTGACTTCCGGTGAGCATGAATATGGCTCTGGGGAGCCTGGAAATGGCGCTGGTGAGCCTGGACATCGTCCTGGGGAACGTCGCCAGCTGGTGGTCGTGAATCGGGGCAAAGGTGTGAAGAATTGACATTTGACAGCAGTGGGAAGATAATCATTCATGCGCTGGTGAGATGACTCCAAATGAGTTTTAACGAGTGAATATTGCTCTGCGCAAGCGGAGGGGGAAAAGGCATATGAAAGTCGACGGATCGACTCGTTAATTCACTGAACTGATATCATATCACTGTCCACACCCAAAGTGCAAGATCTCCATCGCCGCGATGTCGTCCTGGTCATTGAACTGAAAAGAAAAGAAAAGAAAAGCACATCAGCATCCTGTTCCGCCCAACCACCAACAGCGCGGAAAAACTCACCCAAATGCCAATAACATTACTATCATTCATATGCACCGCCTGATAATCATACAAGTCCTTCGACTCGATCTCGACGTACTCGAGATCCGAATAAATCGGCGGCTCGGTGAAGGCGGAGAAGGATTTGGGCTGCGCGATCAATTCCTCTTGGACCGCTTGCGAGGGTGTGATTGGGAGAAGAGGCGGGATGGGTCGGGCGGCGATGATGCGTGCGGTTGCGCCGCTGTCGAGCTTGACGCTGCCGTCCGGACCGGCCGTTCCAGGCACGATGCCCATCATGCGCCAGTTGTGGGGGCTCATGCCGGTATTAGACTCGTCGGGTTGCGACAGGGACGTTGCTTCCCGCGCATCGACACCACCATCAGGCGGCGCAGCTCTCAACCCCAGCCGAACTTTATCCACCGTCCACCGATTAAAATCGAGGATCTTCAGCGGAACGCCGAAATGCTCCTCCCCCTGGTCTTCCGGAAGCCTGGCCATACTGACGATACGCTGGCCCGAGCACGCCATGAAGCCGACCGGCGTGGTTTCGACATCGAGGAAGCGCGTGCAGTACGAGAGCCAGCTGGACGGCGGGACGGTGTGGGGTTTCGGGTTTGTGCTCGGAGCGAGTTCTCCAGCAGACGCTGACTCGTCGGAAGAGGGTGGGGCAGGGGGAGGAGAGGGAGGAATCCGACTTTCGAGGACGGCACATCCAAACCAGTACAGCAAAGGCGCGCGTCGAAGAACGAATGCGTGCGATTGATCGTCGTCGTCGTCGTCGTCTTCGTCGTCGTTGTCCGACTCGTCCGGCCCCGTCTCGTAGGTGATGACGATCAAGGACTCGTCGTGGACAGGACGAAAGCGCACAACGGGACCGAGAATAGACGGTTCTCCCTCGATGCCATCCCCAGCAAGTTCTTCCGGTATCATAATGGGACTCGACTGGGCACGTATCGCATTGTCGTCTGGTGGCATGGGCTGATAAGACGTCATGAAAGACCCCGGAATAATACTCAATCCAGGCTTGAGCGGCGGGAGCTGGAACGCGATAAAGTCGGTGGTCGCACTGGAGAGTGTCACGGGTTCCGGGCGAAGAGGTGGGATACGGAATATGTCCAGCCGGTTCTCGGTTTCGTTGGGGACAATCAGGATGTCGGGCGTGAGGAAGACGCCAGCGAGGGAGCCGCATGCGAACGGGTGCTATATGGTTGTCAATAAAGGCAGCCGGTAGCTATCAGCGTATACGTACAATTATTGCCCGTCCAAC